TTAAGGGGAAAGAACCAGTGTTCTAAAAGTCGCTTGGCGCCCGCTAGGCGCTCGACCAGCGCCTAGCGCCTAGGCGGGGCCTAGGCGGTGGCTAGTCGGGGCCTAGAAATCAATATAAAATACCTTATTTTTTATTTAGTTTGACTACCTACAAAATAAAACTATCTCAACTTATAATAAATCGACACACCTAAGTCCAAATAATAAAATTAATATATTTTAAAGAAAACATGAGAATAAAATAATGTAATTAATATTTAAAAAATTTAAAAAAATTAAAAAAAAAAAACTGAAAAATTGCCGCCGAGCCCGCCTAGGAGCGCCTAGGTCCGCCTATTCCCGCCTAGGCGCCGCCTAACCGCCTGGCCGCCGCGCCCGCCAAGGGCGCCTAGGAGCGCCTAGGGCCGCCTAGACCCGCCTAGGCGCCGCCTAGCCGCCTCACCGATTTTTTCAGCCGATTTGTGCAAATCGGAGGCGCCCGGACACCGCCTAGCGCCTAGGCGGCCGCCTAGGCTGATTTTTAGAACAGTGGAAAGAACTAAATGTATATACTCTTTTGTAATTACCTATTTAGGTATCAATATTTTAAACAGTAAACTTGTGATTACATTTTCTTTTTAATTGTTTGTGCTGAAGTAAATGTATATAATATTTTTTTACTATCATATTTATAGATTACATTTTTTTTTTTTTCACAACGATAGATTTTATAACAAAGAAAGAAAGAGTATTTACAAGCGGTGCAACGAGGCAAAATGACAGAAGCACCAACAATGGCGATCTAACCAAAAGAACAAAAATCCATTTCAGAACCCGATACCTGGCATGAGCAGAAGTCATGAAGACCAAGATAGGTTAATGAAATGGTAATGCTAATACAAAAGGCATTCACAAAAGATAGACTAGCCACTGAACCAAGGGACCTAGTTAGCCTATCACTACCAACAACCAAAACAAGCTAAACCAACAAGGGGAAAGAAACAGACAGCAAACCAAAAACAAAAACCAAAACACAGCCCCAGGATCAAGGCTTGGCCAAAAAATCAGCTTCTAGCCAAGCTGATAAAGCAGTTTGAGCTATTGAGAATTCAGGGAGCCAGTGGTTTTGGAAAACCCATTGGTTGCGGGCCTTCCATATCCACCAAAGGAGGAAGATAGTCAGTTGAAGTCTTCTATCAGCCATGGCATTTCTCTTGAGTGTGCTTAGCTTGATCCACCAATGTGTAAAATCAGAAGTGTCCTCTTTGATGCCCTCCCAGTCAATAGCAGCTAGTTTCCAGACTGTTTGAGATTTAGGACAATGGAACAAAAGATGTTCAACAGTCTCTGACTCAGCACCACATATTTTGCACACAGGGTCAATATCTTTAATTCTCTTGTGGAGATTTAGGTTGACAGGGAGAGTGTGTGTGAAACATCTCCCAGCACCACATATTTTGCACACAGGGTCAATATCTTTAATTCTCTTGTGGAGATTTAGGTTGACAGGGAGAGTGTGTGTGAAACATCTCCACAAGAAATGTTTGAGTTTCCCTGTGATTTTCAATGACCACATCCTCTTTCTGGCTGATTGCATCCCCTTTGAGATCAAGCTGCATTCTGGAACATCCAGCTTATTCCATTTTTCCTCTACTAGCACTCTGTAAACTTCAGCAACTGATAGATCTCCAGATTTGCAGTGGGCCCAAGTGAGTCTGTCTTCTAGCAGAGGGTCCATACCTTGGATACTAAGGATGGCAGCACTTTCATTTGGGGGGAAGCATTGATGGATCAAGTCAACATTCCATCTTGCGTTCTCAGTCTAAGTTATGATTGTCATATTGAATGTTTAGTCTACTTAAATTTTACTACCTCAGCTACAAGTTGGAAAATTATATCTAGATGTCATCTCAATAGTTAACACTCTAATTTTGTCTGCTAAAAGATGGCATCTCCTTTTTTGGATGGAAAAGTTTTCAAGGATTTTCAAGGCAGTACCCTTATTTTTATTCCGTTTCAGTACCCTCATAAAAAGATAAATTTTAAGGTTATTAATGTAATCTTTTTTATTAATGTTAGGAAGTTACAACTTCTATTTATTATCTTATATTTTTTATGCTTAATTATATCTTTAAGTTCTTACACATACAAAACATTACTTACGCAAATCCATATATTTTAAATAATTTTTTATTCTTAATTATATTATTCTGAAATAATGTACATATGACGTTAGGTTTCGATTTGGTTATTCTAAAGGTAGTTTTAAAATGTAAGAGAAAATTTATTTTAAGATTTTTTAAATATAAAATATATGATATTTCATAAGTATAAAATATTAATGCACCAGTACAAGTATCATCTTTAATTTCTAAATATCATATTGTTTACCATACAAATTTTTGGTTATAATATCCCCCCTATATATTAATACAGAATGCGCTGAGCCTACGTGGCTGCTTCTGGTGCTTTGGAATCCTATGTGGCAAAATTACATGCTTCGTTATTAGGTTTGGGTAAATTTTAATTTAATTCCAAACCAAAAATAATTAGGTTCGGATTACCATAAATATGTTGAATATTTATGGTCATGTTACATGTATTAATTGTATTTTAATATCATTCCTTATTATAAATATTAAATTGTATATATATTTTAAAAGTTAATAACTTTTGTATTTTTTATCAGTTTTACATATGTAATATATCAAATTAATCTTCTTTTGATAAGCTTCGATTTAACATCCATATTGTATGTATAAAAAGAATAATTTATATTTATCTTTATAACAATAATAAAATTATTTTTAATATTAATTAGAAAAATAAAATTATTTATTAACTAATATATTTATATTTCAAGTAGTTATATTATATAAGTTATAAAAACTAATATAATATAACACATGTAAGTCATAAGTAACACATATCATTCTAAAATATATAGTAATATATTTTTTTTTTGTAAAAAAGTAAACTAAATTTAATATAATTTTCTCATTAATTTTAAAATTTTTAAGAATAATTTTTTAACAAGCACCCGTGTAATACACGGGTATTGTACTAGTTAAAAAATTAAAAATGAACAATTTAGTGAACATGTATATGTTTAAAAATGATTGAATCAAAGATAAATAATTAACATACAAAATGTCAACTTTCAATGGAAAAAAAATATTTGTAGTAAAAAAGATACGATCTTAACAAAAATAATCGTTTAAATTATTCACTAAATCAAAATGCATAATATGATTTAAGTTTACCTCTTTGTTAATAATATATATAGTATAAATGTTCTTATATAATAATGTGTTACATAAATTAAAATAGAATTTACTGAATTGTAATATAAACAAAAATAGATTAATTACATAATAAAATAACTAAAATTCTACTTTAAATGTTAAATTTTACAATACATGTACTTATTAGAAAATAATTACAATTAAAATTAATAAAATAAAAATAAATAGTAAATTTACTTTAAATTTGTTGTCTTTAGCATATCTTATTTATAAAATCATTCATAAACTAAATGTTTCAAATCACTTCACAAAAGTAGGGAAAATAAACTATATAAAATAATGACGAAATAAAAATAATGTTAAGAGAAAAACAAAATATGAAAGACTCATTATTTTATAATTCATTAAAACTAAACTTATTAAATTTTCACATTTATGATAGTCTTGAAAATCCGTTAACGAAGATAATGCATGTGTGACAATTTTAGAAGATGCGACAATAATTTATGTTGGACAAAATATATAGATAAATGGGTATCTTTAATCAATAAAGATGTTATTATTCCTAAGCTTTGTCATGTATTTTTTTTTTTAAAATTACGATTTTAAAGATATTTTCAAATATTTATGTGTCTCTTATGTCATTTATCTAAGTATTATGAAATATTATACTTGCAAATATAACTAAACTTACAACCACTAATCAAAATAATTGAGAACGAATTATTCAAACATAACGTTTTAGCTTCCAATCGACAAATAAAAAATGATCATTACAAATTATGGTTATAACAATTCGAGTTATCTTTCAAAGAGTATGATGCAAAAAGATGACATTAGGAAACTATATTTGATGATGATCATTATTTTAAGCAAAAGTAGGGAAAATAAACTATATAAAATGTTGACGAAGATATAAAAATAATGTTTAAGATAAAAATAAAATATGAAAGAATCATTATTTTATGATTCATTTAAACTGAAATTAGTAAATTTTCATATTTAGAATAGTCTTGAAAATTCAGGAATGAAGATAATAAATGTATGACAATGTTAGGAGATGCAACAACAATTTATGTTGGAAAATATGTATATATAGATGAGTATATTTAATCAATAAAGATGATTTTATTCCTAAACTTTTTCAAGTAAATTTTCGTTTTGAAATAATTACGACTTTAAAGACATTTTCAAATATTTATGTATCTCTTATGTCATTATGACTAGGGAATAATTATATATATCTAAGTATTATGAAATATTATACTTACAAATATATTTAAACTTGCAATCACTATAATCAAAATAATTGAGAACAAATTATTCAAACATAGTTTGTTAGCTTCCAATCGACAATATCATTATAAATTATAGTTATAGCAAATTTGATTTATTTTTCAAAGAGTGATGCAAAAGGATGACATTAAAAAACTATATTATGATGACAATAATAGTGATCATTATTTTAAGCACAATGAAGATACCATTAAATAATAAAATCAAAGACAATATAAATTTATTTAGCATTTACATTTTCACTAGAAAAAATATTAATTTTATTTTGGGTTTTCAATCTAATGTTTTTTATTTAATTTAATTTATCACAGAGTTTAGTTAAAAGTATTAAATACTATATTTCATTATTCAATAAAATACACCTTTTTTTGTTAAACTAATTGAAAGAAAATTATATTATACTATTAAATATAAACCTAATACTAAAAACAATGTGAGAAAAAAAAATATCACGTGCGTAGCACGTGCAACTTCCTAGTATTATAAAAATGTCTGACCTGTAGCTACATATTCAGGTGCAATATATCCATGAGTGCCCCTAACTTGGGTCGATACATGCGTCCCATCACCGATGGGGCCGGCTTTAGCCAAACCAAAGTCGGACAATTTCGCATTGAATTCCTAAAAATGGAATTGAAACTTGTTAGGAACATCCAATAAGTTTGAATTTTTAGAAGTTAATAAAAAGCGACTAGTTAATTATGAGCATACCCCATCAAGAAGAATATTAGAGGGTTTGAAGTCTCTGTATATAACTTGTTCTTTGGCTTCGTGCAAGAAAGAAAGGCCCCTGGCAGCACCTATGGCCACCTTTATACGAGTTTCCCAGGTCAGGGGTTGTGGCCATGCTGCAAAACAAAATGCAATTGTACATATCAATGCAGCTAAGAAAGCTTTTCTATTCATATACCAAGCAAACATGTGTGTGAAGTAACCAATACGGATTAACAATGATAACTTTTAGGAAATCAGTTGTTTTGATGACCTTTAGCCTTGTCAAGAAACAAAGATACTTTCATGCAACAAATTACCACTTACTTCTGAACAAATGATTCTCCAGACTTCCTCTCGGCATGAACTCATAGACCAACAGTTGTTTGTCGCCCTCCAAACAGTAGCCAATAAGTTTTACAAGGTTCGGGTGATGAAGTTGCCCCAAATAATTAACTTCCGTCTGCAAATCATCTCCATGCTCTTAGATTGCTACTATAATAATTCAATCACCATAAATGAAATGTACAAATTTATAAAAACAACCCCCTAATATTCGGTCTAATTTTCTTTTTAGGAAAAAATGAAAATAAAAATGAAAAAAACTCCTGGCCAGTATCTTTCAGAAACACAAATAAACTTCTTACAACTAGGGTGTAAATATTTTCGATTCGATTCGTGATTCAAGTTCGTTATTCGTGATCCGTATTCGTAAAAAGTTGAATTTGAATTTGAGAAGAATAGATTTTAGAATTCAAAACTTAAACGAATTCGAATCCGAATATACACATATTGGATTCGAATTTATTAAATATTCAAATCATTAATAATTATACTACATTTAATATATCATATGGAATATACATTTTATGCATAAATATATCATATTTTATATATATATATATAGGTAACAAAATATATTTATATTAAAAAATTAGATTAAATATAATTATTAAATACTTTTATGCATAAATTTATATTTTAAAATATATATTAAAAATATAAATAATTTCAGAAAACGAATTTCGAATCAGATTGAATATATTCGATTATCTTAATCGAACAGAATATGAATAAAAAATTAAATTCGATAACAAATCGAATACGAATCCGAATAGTCGAATATTTTCATGAATCCGAATCGAATAGTTGAGTATTCGCTTCGATTCAATTCCCTACTTACATTACACCCCAGTCTTCATATCAGGAAGAACTACTAACTTGAGAAAACTACAAGCTAACCTCGGGGATTTTTATTTTATTTTATTCCTTTTGGGCTAAATAATCATAAGAAGAAGAAGCAGAACATACCAACCACTCTTTGTGGCCTTGAAAACTCTCGGGCTTCAACTTCTTCACCGCAATGACCAAACCTAATCCAGGCCTTGAGGCAGTAAAGGTATGCTCATCAATCCACCCTTTAAAGACGTGCCCGTATCCTCCTTCCCCAAGATGATTGTCGGGCCTAAAGTTTCTCGTTGCATTTCGTAGTTCGTTAAACGTGAAGGCTTTGACATGTGATGATGACAGAATATCGGCTTCCGATCTTGGAGTCGGGAATCGTGATGCTTCTAAATGTGAAGAAAGGAAATATCAATAAATGAATGAAAATCAAATAAAATAAACAGACATGCTTAATACACATACAAAACCATGGGCATAAATAAAGCTAGTACAGATTAATCGAATATCGATTTTTTTTTTTTTTTTTTCATAAANNTTTTTTCATAAACGAACTCTGAGAAATTAAATTGGACTGTGGAGGAGAAATTGAACTGGACTTCAAGTCAGTTAATAAGAATGATATTCCGGGTGAAAGGAGGCTAGCTCCCGACTTTTATTTGGTTCTCGACCAACATTTTCTATGTGAATTTGCCTTTCATATGTGAAGTTTGTATAAAGGAAACCTCATCATGAACTGGAAAGATCCAATAAATATCATTAATTAAGCATACAAAAACAATGAAACCAGCAGCAAGCATTGAGGATACTCGTATAGCTGAAAAGATTCTCTTTCACTCATTCATACATAAACAGCGATTAGTTAAATACATAT